TAGATGCATATATGTGTGTGAATGTATGAATATCTACATATATATATATATGTACACACCCAATGGGTATACAAACACTGGGGGGCATCACAACAAACACTTCCCACCAAACAAAGTCCCTGCGGGAGGATTGTTGTGTTTTCGCGAGAGCTGGCAAACATGCGCGGCAGCAAGAAAGGCACGGCGCTCGCCGGGAGGGAAGAGGCCACGGCTCGCCCCGCAGCCAGAGCGCGGGCTGAAACCGAAGAGGAAATCGAAGGCGACTCGGGCCGACGCCCAACATGACGTCATCGGTTGCTGCAGGCAGATGCCACAGCGAATGCGCGACCTCGCGCAAGTGATCAAAGGTGGCAGGCTGGGCAAAGTAGCGGGGGCTGTTTCAAGACCCCGCGGCTTCATCGGCGCCCTGAACTCGCGCGAGTTGCGCTGCGCCGCGTCAAAGAGCGGCCTTAGCATTGTCCGCTGACGCTCCAGGTGCATCGGCTGGGCCTGAGCTGACCTGGCACGCGCCGAAGCTGCGCGGCCATGCCCCTCGGGGAGGAGGAGGAGGAGGAGGAGGAGGAGGAGGAGGAGGAGCAGGAGGAGGAGGACGAGGAGGAGGAGGAGGAGGAGGAGGAGGAGGAGGGGGAGGGGGAGGGGGAGGAGGAGGAGGAGGAGGAGGAGGAGAGGAGGAGGAGGAGGAGGGAGGAGGAGGAGGAGGAGGAGGAGGACCGCGGCCCGCGCGATCTCTTCTCAGGGCCTCGGCCGACGCATCCACTGGCCATGGGCCCCGCCGACGCCCTGCCCTGCACCTCGCAGCGACTGTTTCGCAGGGGGGGGGGGGGGGCGAAACGTCTGAAGGGGCCCCAGGACACACAAATAAATACACACACAAATAAAGATATTCCCCATATTTTCCTATATTTTCTGGGTTTCTGTCTTCCCAACCACTTCCCATATTTTCCCATATTTTCTGGGGAATCGAGGATTAATTGTGTCTGTGTGTTTCTTTTCCTCCTGAACGTCGGCGCCCGCGGATGGCCGCGCGCCGCCCCGGCCAGCGCAAAGTCGCCCTCGTCAGCAGGCGCAGACCAAGCGGAGCCTCCAACCAAATCAACGCCAGATCGCGCGCGACGCCGCGCCGATGTTCGGCAGAATCCCCCGGAAAGGAGGGGTCGCGCGGATCAGATTCCGCGAGATATTGGCACGCCAGCGCGGAGTTCGTTGCGACATCGCGTTTAGCCATGCGCGCTCTCGACGAAACAGCGAATGCCGAACTTGGCGCCGGCCTCCGCCCTCCCCGCGCGGGGCCCGATCCAATTCGAAACGGAGGCTTCCCAGATGGGCGCGGCCTTGGCACCTGGGGCCCTCGCGCAGACCTGCGCGCGGGCCCCAGGTGCCCTCGCGCAGACCTCGCTGGACCGGCGTTCCAGGGGCCCAGCGACGAGACCTGGGGCGCGACCCACGACACGGGGAAAGTCAGAGGGAGAGCGACTCGGCGGTGGACGCCGCCCTCGGCTCGCACCGCACATTCGGGGCGGAAGAACTTGCGCAGAACGCGCCTCGGCACGCAACGCCCCGCCCCCCCGGCCCTCAGGGCCGAGGCAAATGTCCCGGCGCCAGGGCGCACAATGTGGACGTGCAACTTGAAAGCCAACCTCTTGTCGGTCTGAATAGGTTCATCCTCGCGATCGATTCGGGCGGGAGTTTCCCCTGGGAGACGGCCCCCGGTTTCGTCTTCGTCGCTGGAGTCCGCGGCGTCGCCGTCTCCGACGACATTTCCGCCGGCCCCGCCCAGGCAGGCGCGACCCGCGGGGCCGCCCCGCTCCACTGCTCAGCCGTGGCTCGAGCGATGACGCGGACAAGTGGAGGGGGGGCTGCCGCTGCGTTCTCGAGATGGCCGCCCAAGGAGGGCGCATTCCACCTCGCCTGACTACCCACGGTAGCCCCTCGGCGACTGACCTTTGGGCGATCCTGGGAAGAGAAAGCGCATCCACGGGCGCCGTCCTAAGTCGGGCCCAGGGCCCAGGACCTGGACCGGCGGCCCCCCCCCAGCCTGGAATCGCCCCCCGCGCCCCCCGCCTCTCTCCGGCCTAGGAAGTCTCGAGAGGAGGCCTCTCGATCAACGAAGTTTTCCTGGGGCCCTCACCAAAGCGGCGGAGGGGCAGGAGGAGACGTGGAAGGCGGAGGTGGACGGTCACAAAACTGTCTGTTCTGCTCGGCATTCGCCAGAGTGCTCAGCGCAGCGCAATTCGAAACCGGAACGGAGGCCGAGACGACGGCCTCAAGACTCGGCAGCAGAGGCCAGAAAGACGGGCACTCGCGCGGAACTCCCAAGCGGGGTTCTGCGGGATCGGAGGAAGAGACCACCGCGCGCAGTCGTCAGCGGTGGCAGGCCCGATGGGGCGGCGGTCGCAGGCGTCGCCAAGTTGGTCGACGCAGCTGCTGTCCCCGCCGAGTTTGCCTCTGACGCGATCAACTCCTCGTCGGTCGGTGCCCGTCGACCTCTCGTGGAAGGGGCCCCAGGACACACAAGTAAGTGCACACAAATAAAACAAATCCCCATATGTTCCCATGTTTTAGAGGTTTTGGTCTTCCCCCGACTTCCCATATTGCCCCATATTTTCTGGGACATCGACGATTACTTGTGTCTGTGTGTTTTTTCCCCTCCTGACTCTTATCCGACGCCACCTCCCGGGCAGTTCCACGCGCATGGCGGTAGATCCACCATCGTCGTCGCGCTGGGTCCCCCGTCGCGAGAGCTCGGCGGGGGCGGGCCTCCACTACCCGAGGGCCCGCCCCCTGCGCCGCTGCCCAGGTCGAAAGCAGGCGCGCGCGACCGAGGATCTCTGTGGGCCGACACTTGTGAAAGGGGCCCTGAGACACACAAATCGATTCACACAAATAAAATTATCCCCAATAGTTCTATATTTTTCTGATTTTCGTCTTCCCCCCCACTTCCCATATTTTTGCAGATTTTCCTGGGAGTCGACGATTCATTGTGTCTGTGTGTTTTCCCCTCCTGAACTTGAGCTGCCGCGGGCTGGGCCCGCGGCCGGCGACCGCGCTCCCACTCTGCATCAGCATGGGGCCCAGCTGCCCAGCCGCAGCCTCGGTGTTGTGCAGCGCCAGTGCGACAGAGCAGCTCCGCCTGCACCGCGTCGAGGCTCGCCCCGAAATCCACCGTCGTGGCCAGGTTGGGCTTTGGCGTGACGCCGCCCTGGTAGATCTGCCACAAGCCCTCCCGGATCTGCGCTTGGGCCCCCTGAGCATTGATCGCGCGCTCGCTAATGCGGCTCAGCGCCGCCCGCGCCAGGCACAAAGCCTGAGTGCCCTCTGGGATAGTCGAGAACTGCCAACGAGGCGACTGCAGCGAAACCCCCAACGCGTTCCGTGGACAGCGCCGCGCCGCCCTCCACGAAACCCAGGTTTTCCTATAGCACCTGCACCATCTGCTGGGCCGATTTCACTGCTGAGAGAGCGAGCTCGGCAACCGACGTTGGCGGCGCCCGGCCGCTGAGCCCCCCAGGACTTCCTCGAGGTATCACAACCGAACAACGCCCACGCCGCGCGCACTTGGAAGCTGGGCCATGCTGGTTGCCTCAGTAGCGGGTGGCCACGGTCCGGCGGTCGCAGCGGGGCGCTGCCTTCGGAGGGAGGAGGTGGATTGGTTGGTATTTGGGGTTGCCCCCGTGGACCCTGCGGCGTAGGAGGGCCCGCGTGGCCGGCGTCGTGGGCAGAGGCTTCCTCTGAGCCGAACGACTCCACGAGAGCGGCGGTGGCCCTGGCCGCTGCATCGCTGGGGGTGCTTTAGCGGGCGGCCGCTCTGATGCCATGGCCGCGGCCGCCCATCACTCCTCTGAAGCCCTCATGTTGTCCCCCTGGGCTGGAAATAGCGCCTGCCTCGGCGGAGCCGAGCCGCCTGCTGCAGAGGCAGTGACGCCCTGAGCCTCCTGGGACACATTGAGAGCGGTGCGGGCCCCAAGAATGTACCCCACCACGACCTCCACTCTTCCTCCCCCCTCTTCCTCTCCTCTTCTTGTGGGAGAGGGAGGGGGCGAGGGAGGTGGTGGTGGTGCACATGTTTTAGCCCCGTAAGTGCGGCTCTCCTCGTCGCCCGTGTCGTCGGTGGGCGTGGCTCGCGGTGGAGCTCCTCACCACCCAACTTGCGCCGGGGAGCGAGGTCGCCACGTCGGCTCGCAGGCCCCGCGCCGGACCCTCTCGGAGTCCACGCGTCGCGCCGCCCACGGCTCCTGGTGCCGCCCCGCTCCGCCACGGGAGGTTCGTGTCGTGTCGACCCCGGCCTTGGCTTCTGACACCGCGGGGATCGTTCCACCTTGAACGATCGGTGGCTCTTCGAGCGCCCGATCGTTCCATACAGGCCGATTCTGGGCCACTGGCGGCGTTCAACCTTGAACCCCCGCGGCGGGGTCGCCGCCGGTCGACACGACGCGAGCCTACCGTACCACCTGTGGGAACAGAGAGACGAGAACCCTTGAGCCAAATGGGTTCGGATCTCATAGAACGACTCGCGAGTCGAGGCTCAACGGGTGAACTGCTCCAAACGCTGAGCCTCTCAGCGAAGTTTGGGCGGGAGCTGCAGCTGGACTCCCCTCCCTGGCGTGGGGTCCAGCCCCGATCCGAATGATCCGCGCGGAGCTCCGAGGAAGTCTGTTGGTGCAGCTTGCTCCTCCCCGATGCCTACACGAGGAGATGGTTTATGTTGCATCCTCGGGGGACCTTGTCTGTCCCGTCGCGGTCCTGTCCGCGTCGAATCCGTGACGAATCCATGTCGGACGCGTCGGATCCGTGTCGAATCCGCGTCGAATCCACGCCAAATCCGCGTCGAGTCCGCATCGAGCACGCGTCGGGCCCCCCAAAAGACCCACTTTTGGGACAGGCGAGGTCCCCCGAAGATGCAACAGAAGACGGTGGAGAGGCAAAGACCTCGCACAGCTATACGACACCGGCCCCCGCCGCTGGAGCCCCGCGCGCGAGGGCGGCGGCCCACGCGCGGCTGCCTTCGACATGCCCTCGCGGTACAGCTTGTCGACAAGGCCGGATATGTACCTTCGCCCGCCCTTCTCGACGAGCGGCCGGTATTTAACGGGCGAAGAACGCTATAACATCAACTTTTTCGCCGTCGGGGACACCTGCCTCAGGGCGGCTGGAAAGTTTATACCCTTACGGTGGCACCGTAGGGGTATAAACTTTCCAGCCGCCCAGGGGCAGGTGTCCCCGATGGTGAAAAAGTTCATTGTATACCGTTCTTCGCTCGCTGAAGTATAGCGCACAGAAGCTGGAGAACAAATGGGGGCGGGAACCTCCGCGCAAAGAGCCGTCGTGTTACCACGAGGAGCGCCAGATCAGGAACGAAGGGGCCATTCTGATCGTGGCGAGCCTCGGCCACGAATAGGCCTCCCGACCTGGAGCCAAAGAACGGCCTGAAAGCCAGAGTGCCTCCCGAGCCCAAAGCGGTCCTGACTGCAGCGTCTTGATCATAGCAGGACTCCCTGACCTGTTTTGGTGACAGCTGGTTCGGTGACACACACACACACACACATGTCAAAGCCCTCACTAGACGGACTGTTCGGTCTGTTACCAGACAGCTGTATCAGGACATGGGAAGCTCCAGTCGCTCGAGACATCCTCGGAACACATCTAGGCCACCAAACCGCCCCTTCTCCCACAATCACATTCTGTTCACCCGACCCGACGATGTGCTCACTAGACCGAGTTTTTTTTTCTTTCGAGACGCCCCCTGCGTGTCGAAACGGACGCCGCACAGCCCGAGGTCGAAGACAGAGAGACGCCGCACGCTGGCGCCCTCGGAGCCCGCTGGCCAGCGCCAGCGGGCCGAGGGCAGGCGTAGATCGGCGCCCCAGGCCGCGGGGTTTGCACGGGGCGGGAGCATTGGGAATGCCCCGAGGCCGACCTGCCTGATCGCCGCACAGCCGCGCGCGCCAGGTGCGTGCGCGAGGCTGTGCGAGCGGCTGCGCTCGCGCCGCGGGTTCGTGTGCGTGTGTGTGTGTGTGTGTGAATATATGCATGCAATCCTATAGATGCATGTATGTGTATGTATATGTCGGACTGGCGCAGCCACGCGCGAGGAGCACATGCACTTGGCAGAGCCTGGCGGCTGCCATCGAGCTGGGTGGCTCTGTATTAAGAGGGGGCCAGAGAACAAGGGTGCAAGCGACGGCCGCATGCGTTGGGAGTTCGAAACAAAACAACGAGAAGGGATGGGGATCCGCAGACGTCCCGATCGGCGCCCACTCGCAGAGCACAACCACCGAGAAAATATAAAAAGGAAGCGGGCAACCCCAGACCAGCTGCCCGGTCGAGCGCGGCCGAAACGGGTCACGCTCGGTCACGGCCGTGGCCGCTCACTGCCACGACGCGCTGATGATAGACGACAACGGCGCCCTCTCCGCCTCAACGCTGTCCCAGTCGGTGTATCGCTCCTGCTTGTGGGAGGGATTCAGGCGTCGCTCCAGCGCGTGGGGAGCCTTCATGCGGTGGCAGTTGAGACTGGGCTCCTCCAGCGATGCGTTGCGGCCCTCGGTGCCGAGGGCTCCCCCGACCCTCCTGTGGCCTAGGTCGCCGAAACGCTCAATCGCAATGTTCAGGGCCTGGTGCTTGGCCTGCGAGATGGTGAACACGACTGGCCGATCCCCCCTGCCCACGCGGAGCTCGACGCCCTGCGCCTCGACGCGCTGCCCGAATTCCTCCCTCCACACGAAGCGGGCGGTCAGGACGCCGACGCTCGCGCCCGGGATGTCGGCGCCCACGCCCTCGGATTTCGGGAAGTGGAAGTCCCTCCAGATCGAGTTGCCCACCTGCAATGAGAAGTTAGTCAACGTCTTGTCCCCTGCCTGGTTGGACCCAGCGGCATTGCGCGTGTGCGGGCGGACATGCACAACCTGATGGTCGAGCAGCGAGCCGCTCAAAGCGACCGACTTGACGTAGAGCCCACACGGGCTCACGCCGTCGGTGTCCAGGCTGACGCTCAGCTTGAGCTGCTCCGGGTCCTCGTTGCTGAACGGCACGCGGAGCAAAACGCAATCGGACGACGGCATGCGGATGTCGAAGCGTTCGCCCTGCAGGTTGGTCACGTGCGGGTCGTCGAGTACAACCATCGCGGGGACTGGTGTTGGTGCAACCATCGTTGGCAATGGTGTTGGGTAGACCGTTGGAGCGCTTGTGGCAAGGAACAATGTTGGAGCGGATGTCGGTGCGGCTGTTTGTGAGGCTTTTGATTCGGCTGTTTGTTCGGCGGTTGGTGCGGCTGTTGGTGCGGCTGTTGGTGCGGTTGGTGCAGGTGTTGGTGGAGCTGCAACCACGACAACACTTGAGCCTGCAATATGCGTCTGGGCCAACGGGGTCACCAACTCGATGGTGCCCGCCTCCATATCGAGACTTGAGATTTGATGAATTTCCGACGCTCCCACCTCGATCCAATCGCCAACCGCGAGCTCCATCCCCAGAGCATACCACCCCCACTCGCCGAACTCGAGCAGCGTGCTGCCCGCCACGGCCTCGTTCAGGAGGTAGGACTCCGAGGCCGGCGTGCCCTGGCCTCCGCGCCTGGCGCGGCCCGAGGGGACGCTGCGCCTCACCGACTGCGGGACCTCCTCCGCGGGAGACGCCCGCCGCGGAGCCTCCGCGAGGAAGACTGGCCGGCTGCCGCGGCGGCCGTCCATCCCCGTGGCCTCCGCGGTGTCGGCGCGCGGCGCGGCGCCCCGCTGCGGGTCCAGGGCGCCTGTCTCTCTCCAGGCTCTGCCGACTGCCGAGGCCTGCCCGAGCAGGCACGCGACGGCGAGGAGCAGCCATCGCCGCATGCTCGCCAGAGTTGCGCAGCTAGTTGCGTTGATCAATTTTAGCTTATAAGTGAGGTGGTGGAAAGCAAGGAAGTGCTTTGGTCCAAAGGGCTTGAGCCAAAATGGCTACGGATGTGCTCACTAGACCGAGTTGTGAACTCCGAACATAAGGGACGTGGCCGGGGTGGAAAAGACACGCGTGCCGGCCAGAAGTGAAATGCGAACAAAATCAATGATAAACAGCAGCAGTGATGTTAAGACGGTTCGCTCTTCATAGCTCGCGTGTCATTCAACCAATATATATATATATATCCCCAACCCCCGGTACCCGGCCTCTTCGTCTTCGATCGGACCCCTTCGGGTGACATATCTTCCTAGCCTCTATGATAGGAGGCGGGAAGTAAGAAGAAGGGATAACTATATATAGACAGAGAGAGAGGGAGAGAGAGAGAGAGAGAGAGCGAGAAAAGAAGGCGGAAACGAGGAAGGAGGGAGGCAAGAGGAGGATAATTGAGGCGCAGACGATTCTGCAGGAAGGGGAGGCGAGAGGAACAGCAACTTTGGCAGGCGGGCCCTGACGGGCGGGTCGGTCGGGCCGCGGGCTGGGGCCGAGCAAGCGGACCCCGGCAGGCGGTTCGGGCGGGCGGTCCCTGGCGGCGATTTGGCGGGCGGACCCTGAAGGGCGGGTCGGGCGGGCGGGGCATGAACGCGCGAGTCCTTGAGAAATCTGCGGGAGGCGTCGGGCGAGAGCGCGATCCGTTCTGTAAAGAAGCGTTGGGCGAGTGCAACTCTTGAGCGACAAGAAAGCGACTCCCAACTAAATTGCAAGAAAGTCCAAGCGAGACCACGACTCCAAACCCTTGAAACCCGCCCTGTTCGTCTTCGATCGTACCCTCACGTGCGGGTCGGGCGGGCGGGCCCTCACGGGCAGGCAAAATGCGGGACATTGAAGCGAACTTCTCAAATTGCAGAGAAGTCTTGGGCGAGAGCACGAGTCTTGAATAAACTGTGAGGGCGTCTGGTGCGAAAGCGTGATTGCTGGGCGTCGAGAGCGCAGCGCCTGGGTAGACTGTGAGAAAGCCCCAGGCGAGAGCGCGACTCCTGAGCGAACTGCAAGGAAGTCTCGAGCGAGATCGCGATTCCGAAATGAAGTACAGGGCAGTCTGCGGCGGGAGCCGCTGCTCCGGTAGCCCCGGGGCCCAAGAGCGCCATTTGAGCACGAAGAGCAGCGCCCCTGACAACAAGCAGAGTGCGAGCCCCAGGTGGTGGGGGGGGGGCGCCTCAGCAAAAAAAAAACATGTGGGCACTTGTGAGGGAGGCTCGGCACTACTCATCCTCCAGGATTGGGAGTTAGTTCGGCCGCGCAAACATCGCGGGCCTGCCCCTGCGGTGTCTTTCGTTGTGCGACGAACGCCTTCTCCGACGGAAAGGCCTCTTTCCCTCCTCCGGTTTCTCCTCCTTAACCCTCCCCCCTCAGCTCTGGAGCGGATGGGAAAGGGACGCTTGGGGGTGGGAACGCTCTGGGTGGCCAGATGTGCCTTAGTGGGCCCTGAAAACAACAAGGCACTTGTTTTACCAGTTACGTTTTGCCGTTTTTGTTGCCGGTTCCGATGCCGTTGTTTTACCGGTTCTGCCGCCGTTGTTTTACCAGCTCCGGCTCTGGTTCCAATCCTGGAGTCGTTTTTGTTGCCGTCTCTGGTCGCCTTTTTTTGCCGCTTCCATTTTCAAAAGACACTTTTTCGGAAACGGTAGAAAAACGGCCCCGCCGTTTCCGGGGCCAACTAAGGGATGTGCCACCGTGTGCCATGTTTTAGAGCTGCCTCGTCCTAGGGTCACCTCCTTCACATCCTTTTCGTCGTAATCCTGCGTCTAGTCATCGTTCTCCTCCTCCTCCTCCTCCTCCTCCTCCTCGTCCTACTCACTATCATCCTTCCATAATGGCGGGGCAGGTAATCTAACAAATGGTTACAATATACACATGTGTGTACAAGCACTGCTTCTACATATGATTACAACTGGCGTGGTTAAACCACACAGATAGACAGTGAGAGAGAGAGAGAGGCGGGGGAGCACGCACAACAAGTTTCTTGAGATATTGGTTAGAGGTTCCTGACGGCGTTCGCGCCGAAATTATGCTCGATCCAAAAATGCAGGGTTGTCGAAAGATGCTGCCCAATGATCTGTATGGCTCTCCCTCACAGTCCTCCTCCTCGCCACCCCTCCACATAAGGCTCAGGCTCAAGGTCCCCGCAACCATGGGGAGCCCCAGGGCCCGGCACCGAGAAGGCGATAGCATGAAAAATATGCTCAAGAGGCAGGCGCCAACAGAGCCGGGCCTGCCGCTGCACAGCAGAAAGTCTCACTGCACGGCGGAACATCGTAGCAGTACACAGAGCAGCACGGCACACAGTCGCATGGCATAGCATTTCACGGGCGGAGGACGGTACAAAAAAAACTGTTTCGCTGTCGGGGGCGCCTGTCCCAGGACGGTTGGAAAATTTATACCCTTACAGTGGCACCGTGGGGGTATAAACTTTCCAGCCGCCCAGGTTCAGGCGTCCCCGACGGCGGAGCAGAAATATGTTATACCGTTTTTCGCCCGCTGAAGCACGGCATTTCGAAACACAGCGCACCATAACGCAGCATGGCGTCGTAGCGTCACGATCGCAAGCACCCCACAGGGGCCGGGCGACCCATTACTCACGTCACAGAAGGTCAGGCGCCCTGGGCGGCCCTGGGGGCTCGGGGCCGCGACCGCGGTGGCCACCCGGCACTCCGCACAACAGAGCGGTAGCGGCCCCCATCCTCAGACAAAACTGAACCTGAAAGCATGCCTCTACGACCATCCTTCACGTGACAAAGAGGTTCGGGGGAGGACCAACGTCTCACTCAATCGATATCACAATCGATATCACTATCGACCGGACCTCCCTCCGACTATCATTGACGATGCGTTATCCATGAAAGCTGGTTCAGACGAGTGGACGCAGAAGCATTTGGACGCCGCCCGAATTGAATTAGAAGTACATGGGGTCGGCATAGCGGGCCGCATCGCCGATGCACCGCCGATGCATCCGCGACGTCGGCGATGCATCGGCGACGTTGGCGCAGCGAACATCGGCCTGGACATCGAGCCGTTTTGCCGACGCGTCGTCGATGTGGCGCGACACATCGACCCCATGTACATCGACCCCATCTGGGGCGACCAAACGATACTGGTACCGCTACTTCTCGACCTCTCCCGAATTGCGTTCTCCGTGGCGACGAAGGACTCCCAGGCCCGAAGAGGCGAAAACGGGAAGAGGGTAGTGGTCGGAGTTTGGGGGGTGAGATCGAAATGGAACGGAGAGCCCCTCTACCGGGAAATCGATTTCGGTTTCATGTTCGTGCGTGCCGTGCGTGCGAGGCGAAGCTGCGTGGGCGGGCGAGAGGAACGTCTCCTGTGGCTGTTGGCGACCCGGCGTTCGGGGCCGCGCGGTGTCCCGACGCTGTCCCGCCAACTTCCCGTCGGTGTCCCGTCGGTGTCCTGCGGTGTCTCGTCGTGAGATCGATAGTGAGATCAATCGTGAGAAAGACAGTGAGATCGATAGTGAAATCGATCGTGAGATCGATTGTGAAATCGATAGTGACATCGATAATGACATCGATTGTGAGATCGATAGTGAGATAGATAGTGAGATCGATAGTGACATCGATTGTGAGATTGATCGAGTGAGATAGGTCGGGTGATATCGATAGTGAAATCAATAGTGAGATCGATCGAATGCGACGTTGCCCCCCCCCCAATCACCTCCTTATCAACCGACGGGTGGTCGTATAAGTGCCCCGCCCTTGCAAATGCACGAAGAAATCTTTAGTTTCGTTGGTTCAGGCTCCCTTGGGAGCTCTTGAATCCTTCCTGGGGTCCTGTGCCGCGCTGCATCGCCATGCCGTGCTGTATGCTGTGCCGTCGTTGTCGCCGTCGGACCGCAGCCCATCGCGGTTCTGCCTTCGGAGAGTCCGTTCGAACCTTCGGCCCGTGCCGCCCCCATGGCCGGTGCCGCCCGCATGCTCAGACATGCCCTGCCTGTGTCCCAGGGCCAGGCCTTGCCAGCCCCAGGGACATAGGCAGCATACCCGGGCTCGCGCAGACTCGCGCAACGATACAGGTACTCCGAACATTCCATGCCCAGCTCTCCAGCCGTTTGCCCTGTTTCGGCTAGCGGTGCACTCGGATGTCGGCGCGAGCTCGAAAGAGCAAGGGTAAAAGAGTTTCGATGGCGGTGCGTCGTTCTCGACCGCCGAGGGTCCGCCGTTGAGCAATATTTCGAGGCAATTTAACCCGTGGCGACGAGCGGGGCCCCAT